CTACTATAGGGTACAGCAGATCCCTCTCAGTACAGCAATTCTTCTCCACGTCAAACTTCCAGAAGGTGGTGTGCTGTTTAACAAGTAGTAGTTTCCAGGTATGCTACAACAGTGAGTGTTAGAGGGGGCTACAGTGACTGTGGGCAGGATCTACAGTGACTGTGGGAGGAGTCTACAGTGACTGTGGGAGGTTCTACAGTGTGTGGGAGGGGTCTACAGTGACTGTGGGAGGTGTCTACAGTGACTGTGGGAGGGGTCTACAGTGTGTGGGAGGGGTCTACAGTGACTGTGGGAGGGGTCTACAGTGTGTGGGAGGGGTCTACAGTGTGTGGGAGGGGTCTACAGTGACTGTGGGAGGGATCTACAGCAGTGGCTATACGATTCCCAGCAGTAGAAACTAAACCAGAGGTTTTAAGAGGGGCATGTCACCTTAGTGAATGAACTCCAATCCTGAGTTCTGGTGTTTGACTTACGTGTGCCCTTTGTAACAGAATGCCAGAGTGGATTATTAAATACACAAGCTTTTGTTTTGTTTTTTCCCCTCACTGTTCTGTAGACTAGGAAATCTATCATCAAGATGCTAGCAGATCTAGTACCTGGTGTGAACACTCTTGTTGGCAAATGATCTTTATCTCTTTCAATCCCCATGAGTGACAGCATCATATCCTACTTCTCATAATGATAAATACCCTGAATTGAGGTCTACCCTCAGGCATTTGCTATGTAAAACCTCTCCAATTCCATGTTGGAAAGAAGCATTTAGTAGTACTTTGCCTTTTGCTTTCTCACACCTAACTCCCCCCCCACACAGAGTTCCTAATTAGACTAGACATAAGTGTTTAGTCCAGATCAGTACCCTAGCACTTAGTAGGACGATTTCAAGTGTGTGTATGCACACATGTAGCTGTAGTGTGCTTATGGTGGTGGAAACAGCTGCACATTATTAATGAAACTTTTCTGAAAGAATGGGGAAAGGTATTTGAGTGACCCAGAATGAAGAAGAAACTTGTCACCAAGCCTGACACCCAAGTCCAGTCCCATACAATTTTTAATTTGGATTGTTTGTATTAACAATTTTGAGCAGAATGTCCTTTCCACAAAAAAAAAAAATAGTTTGTGGGAAATATTTTCCTAGTTTTGGTATAGACTTTGGGGAAAATCAAGAAACAAGTTAATCATTGTAGGAAGAGAAACAATGTGCGTGAACTGCTTGAAAAGAAATAATGTCAGCTTATGCAGATTTGGGATACATATATTAAGTGAAGGTCCACAGCTGTGCTAGGATGGAACCAGATGAGACCAAGTCATGGTGGTACCAGGAAGGAGCACTGTTGAGTAGGATGGGCAGAGGCCAGGCACTAGCCTCAAAGTCCTTGTAACATTTTACTATTTGTTAGCTTCAAACTATCTTTACCGTCTCATTATCCTTTTAAAGTTAGAAACATGCATCCTGCCATTTTTCATTTAATAAAAAAAAATAGCAAGTAGAAAGCATAGCCTAAGGAAGAGAGACTCATGTCTTTAAATTAAGTCATGTTTCGTGTTTATGTAGCCACCTACTTCTAATGTTATGAACTGATGATAACAGAATAATCACTTTAAACTATTTTTGAACTGATAACAGAGTAATCACTTTAAACTATTTCCAAACTTATCTTTATCCTCTTGTATGCTTTGAAAAGTAGTGTAGGTACTATGATATTCAGCTACCTTCTCAGAAAAATCCTATCAGTATCTAAGTAAAATACTAGATTAAGCAAAATACATAATATGAATTTAACATCATGATTAAAAGGCATAGATTTGGGAGTCAGACCTGGATTTCAATTCCACTTTCTAGTTGTGGATATTTGATGGAGATTTAATATCTATGAACCTCATCTTCTAATCTGTGAATGCAGACTGATGACAGTCTTCCAATGGGAATTTTTTTTCCTAATAAGGCATAGAGTAATGAACTAGATAACCTATCTTACTAAGGAACTTCCTAAGAGCAGAACAAAGACTAGAGTGGAGAAAGTGGGGAAGAGGGAACAGGAGTCAGTGCTCTTCTCTGGTGCCAGGGGCTTAGGAAGTTCTGGGGTTTGGATGGCCCCTTACAGTGCTCCACACTGAGGCAAAGACCCGGAGCCTGTGTTTCCTCCTGTAGTCAACAAATGCATATACAAGGAAAGGTTTGCAAAGCTAGCTTCCCCCGTTCTGCTCAGTTATGAGAAAATACTTTTCAGTTATGAAGTTCAGTTATGAGCAGTTAGCAGCCCGCACTCCTGGCAGCTGCAGGCTAGGATGCTTTGGTCCAGTGTGAGGATCGTGATGTGGTAAGTACCACCTCTGGTCATTGCCTCCACACATAGCCCCATAGTGATGCAATAGAGCCTAGCAGACGTGCTGACCGTTTGTAAGCCATGCTGTTTTCTTCCAGGTTCAAGGTGAACTGTCTTCTCAGTGTTAAAATACTCTGCAGTGTAGTATGAGGAGGGCAGAGGAGAGAGAGCTCTATTTGTGTGTTTATTTTATCTCTTTTCCACTGGTGACACTTTTGCTCATATCTCACTCCTCTTAAGAAGCCAGGCACTGTGTTCTTCATTGTGACATTTCACACACACAGTATGCACTCATCAGATGGAATATTACCAGATTTAGACACAGCATGAAAAATGTGTAGTAAATAAAATGAGTAGCTTTGCACAAAGTGTATAGGCAGTGCTTACATAGCAATACTCTGCACAGATTCAGCCTGTCTGGTCCTCACAGTAGCCTAATGAGAAGGATGGTAATATTACTGTATTTTCACTTTGTAGATGCAGGTATTTAAGGTCAGAGGTTAAACAGCGAGCAAACAGCACAGTGCAGATTGTGTGACCAGGTCAGTGCAGACCACGGTCCTAACTACTCCACTGTTTTGCCTCCCAGTGGCTACTTTTACTTTTATTATCACTGTCCTTCTAAAAGATGTAAATACTTTCTTCACTGTAAATGCCTTTGCTAAAATGTGCTCAAAAACAAATCTTAGTATTTACAGTAGTTTTAATCTTTATGTATTATCACAGAATAGTTTGCAGACAATGAAAATAATGCAGAAAATCAAGTATTTTCTATAATAGAAAAACAGGACAATAAGATAAAAGAAAACGTGTGTGGCTAACTTGGTAGGAAGTATCACCTCTGTCTCATGTCTGGACGTATGAGTACTGCAGCCTCCTCTGCAGTCAGAAACCTGCAAGTCCAGGTTATCATCCATTTCTGCCATTAGATAAATTTTATCTGTGTTTGTTTCTCCATGATATAAACTAGGTTAATCAGCCCCTTCACTTGTTATTCTAAGTTATCTCTTAAAGGCTTATAAGAGGAATCATGGAGGAATTACTTGTTTTTCACACTAGCATCTATACATGATAACAAAAATAAAGATTAAAATGCATAATGCACTTACTTTTTTGTATAGCATGATTGTTACTTTTCCTGGTTAAAATTCTCATTTGCTCATATGTAACTGTCTTGAAATGTGTACCTTAAGGACAAAGAAAGGTCACCAATTCCTCTAACTCCTGGTTCTTTGTCAAAAAGTGGACACAGTTAATGAGGTTTGTTTGGTACAGAACAAATTCTCAGACACAGACAGAGATGCTTTCAATGGAAACAAATTTGTTTGGCTTTAGCAGGTTACTTAGCGATTAATAATAGCCTTGAGATGCAGTCAGGGAGGTCATTGTCCCAGCTTGCCAACACAACCTCAGTGTGCAGCTAGCCTAGGCTGGTGGGTGCAGAAGCCCCCCACATACCATTCATAAAGGAAAACAGGCTATTTCTGCCTCCTTTTTTCATATTAATAAGCAATTTTCAAGGGAAGGGTGGCAAAATGGGGGCCATGCCACTCCAAGTAATTCATTTATTTTGCAATTTAATCTTACGTTGAAAAAAATTGCTCTGCTGCAGTAGCCTAGCATGGTGATTTTTAAACGTCAGAGTGTTTCATAAGTAACCTTGTGTGAAGTATTAGTAGCCTGGAACAGGGAATTGCAACAAAAATCTTACCACACTCAGGTAGCAAGGAGAATCCTGTATTTTCCTTTTTTTTTGGGGGGGGGGGAACTATCTATTTCTAGTTTTCCCTGACATATATGAAGCAAAAGCTATGATGATTTCTTTGAAATTTTAGACATGGAAGTAGACACCAAGTTATATATTTATTTTTTAAAATAAAACAGCAGTATTAAAATGCAGCTCTGACATGAGTGATAAATTTGTTCAACGAAAACAAAAGATGTAGCCTTTCTTCCTTATTTGATAATATCATGTCCTATTTGGGAGCTATTTATCACACAGTATAATGTAAAGCTTATTTTTTCATTTAAATATCATAGAAGTATTCACAAATGAGGAAATGTTTCATTATTTTTGTGGAATTTTTCATGCCTTAAAAAGATTTTAACTTCTAACCTTTTACTTAAATTATTTATAAACTGAATAAAATGTCAATTCTTTAGATACAGGCTAGTGTATGTAATCTTACTGGTATTAATTGAACTGTTAACTGAACTAAACGTTGAATCAACCAAGCATGTAAAAAAATCTGTACTTTAAAAATAAAGTGATCCGTATACAAAATAAGCAAGCAGACAATTGTAAATACAAACTAAAATTTTAATATGCATCTTTTCTTGGGATGTTTATGTGTCTCCAGATAGCCGGTCTTCAACAAGGGAAACTGATGATGTAGAAAGCCACTCACTTTGCATTGAATTTTAACATTCCTTTTGCCATTGTATTAATTATAATATGTACCCTTTTGGTGTTGAAAACCCCATCATGAAAAAGTCACTTAAAAGCTGTCTAACAGCAGCAAAGATTTCCACACAATTCACAGGCAAGATAAATTGCACACTTGATTTTGATGGATGTGGGTGATCATTGCCCCTCAAAAATCTTGATTTTCATCAGTGAAAGAATTAGGGGATCAACAAATGTCATCAGAGTAACTGCTGATAATTTTGACACAGGGAGGCTCTGGAGGAGTTTGCAGAGATGAAAGAGAGAGAGGAGAGGAAGGCTCGCCTGGAACGGGAAGAGAAGCTCAGAGACCAGCAAGCCCGCAAGATGCATTACCTGCTCAGCACAAAGCAGGTTAGTCCACGTGTGCCTGGCAGCTCCCATGAGCCACTTGGACCCCTAGCCTGACAGAGAGAAACCAGCAGGCTGAATAGGACTTGACTTGTTGAAAAGATACCACAAAGGCATGACTTCGAGTTCAATTTCATGTCTCTGCGTAGGTGTGTGCAGGCACCATGATTGGTTTGTGATAGTGCCTCATAGTGGCAGCCACTGAGTCATGGGCAGGCAGAAAGGTCCAAGTCAGCAGGGTGACCCCCACAGTGATAACACATCATAAAGGGCTTATCACGTCTGCAAAACTCATTCCAGGCAGCTTGTTGTGGTGGTGTGAATTGATCAAAAGCTAGCAGGTTATTAAGCTGAGATGGCTTTCAGATTTTCTCTTTTAATTGAGTGAATGCTGAGATTTAAGTCCCTTCTTCCTCCTTTTCTAACTTTTGATAGATGTTGTCAGGTAATGCTTTTCAACAGATCGCCTCAGCAATTACGACTTCATATGGAGAGATAAACGTGGAATTTGGAATACTTAAGATGTTTATTCTTAAGATTTTGTTACAGTTGCTGAGAAAGAGTACATTGCATTAGAATACTCCTCGCAGAGAAATATGGTTTTAAATGCATGAGTTGGCTGGTGAGATGGCTCAGTAGGTGACTGTACTTGCCACCAGCCTTGATGACCTGGGTTCAAGCTCCAGGACAGTAATAGTGGAAGAGCAGAGCTTGCTCCTTTCTTCTATTTATTCTAGTTATCAGTGAGAATTAATAAGTGATCATTACAGTGTGGTCTTCATATGGGTGTGATCTCCACCTTCACAGTACATGGTATCATTTATTAGGACATTGCAGGTGGAACTGTGTTGTCAAATCTCCTTGGTGAAGAATTTTATAAAAATGTCAGAGATTTTATTTGCTCTGGCAATTTGGTATATGTAGTTATGGTGATCTTGATATTTAACTATAGGTAACAAAGGAGATGAAAGGATAACATTTGAACCTTTGAATGGGGAGAAACTCCCACCCCATTCCACCCCACCCCCGGGCAAACTTCTTGGTGATAAAATAAAGACTGATACCATCTTATTGTCCATTTGTTCATTTGTCCATAATATTGGATGCGCTGCCAGATGATGCTGGGAAATCCATGCCTTCCTTTGAACTCCCACTAGACCTCTCCTGCTTCATTTTAATCACCATTTGTCATCACATATAAAGAGGTAGAATTTGAAGACCACAAAGACTTAGTACACTGAGGATGAGTGCTCCTCAGCCTGCTGCCCTGGACCACATGTCTCTGGATGCCTGCCCTCCATGGGTACTGTGCTGGGAATTCAGTACATGCAAGTGTTTACTAACAGATTGTTGTCCAGAAGGAGCACAGAGATTCATGTCAGTCTCCTGCCACAAAACGTTTTTAATAGAAAAAAAAACTGCTAGCTCTGAGCAGTCTCACTACAACTGTACTGTTTTGTTCAATTTAATAAGGAATTTTAAATACTCTCCCTTCCAAACAACAACAACAACAAAAAAAAAAAAAACCCCACATACTTTTATGTGAATGTTGTTACTCACTTGTCTTAATGACTTGGCTATTGGGTAGAAATTGATCCCTGGATTTGAAAATATTCTCAGTAGTTTGGGTTAACTCCCCTGGATTGTTTACCACAGGAAACTTCAATTTCAAAATATTAGTGTTTTAATTGTCAATAGCAAGTGTACATATTTTTTGTGAGGAATATATCTGTATACAGTTTTGTTGAATTGTGTAAAAAGAACCCCTGTAGCATTTTTAGAAGAGAACTTAGTTTATTGAAAATTCTAATACTTTAGTAATGGTATTATTAATATACATTATAAAATACTAATTTTGACATTAAATTCCCACAGTTCCAATATAGTTTAACCTAGCTTGTAGCTATAAAACATTAGTCAGGTAAATAATGCTTTAAAAACAGTGAAGATTTCTTCAGGACAAAATTGTGTTTGTTAATTCAGATTTATATAAGGTTATTTAATGAATTAATCATTTTAGACTAGTTATACTGATATATTGATATTTACTGACACAATTTAAGATTTACACTTAATTTTAAGCCCCCCCCCTTTTTTTTTAGAATGAACCGATATACAATTTAAAATAGTTTTAGGAGCTATTCATAATTTTTATTGTTATCTCATCTTTATTCAAGCAAATATGTTTGTGCTAATAGGAGTTACATAAGTAAATAACTAATATTGCAATGAGTGAATTAATAGAACCCCCAGGGCTTTATTAATTAAAAAGTTCAAGTCATAGTTTTTTATGTTTATTTCAATCAAAAAGCTGAACATGGAGATTTATTTGCATAAATAATCAATCACCATTTACTAGTAATAATAAGGTTAATTTGTTGCTGCAGACACAACAGGGTTAGTCAATTATATTTCCTAGAAAATACTATTTGTTATGCACCCGCCACCTGTAAAGCAGGATTGTGTTTAACGCCCTCACAAAATGAACACATCAAAAAGTCTTTGTCCCTGTAAAAATTTTTTGAAAGGGAAGCTAATTTTAGTTGATTTGAATAAAGTAAAATGCAAGCAATGACTCCATTTTTAAATTTAATTTATCTTTCTGCAAAGATTGATTATTTAATAAAGTTATTTATTTTGATTCAGAAACCAGTCAAACCAAATCTAACACATACAGGGCATATTTCCTTTGAAGAAAATCTCATTTACAGATTTGTTTTATTCCAGAGAAGCTGACTTTCATTCCATTGCCCTTGTTCTTGGTAATAAATTATGCTGTCTGCTCCACCTACTGGCAGATGTGTGCAAAGGCTTGTTGTTGTGTTCGCTAGAGGAAAACACTGCTTCCTGAGGATCCGTGGTCACAGGCACTCTTATAAAGCTCAAGGTCCCAGTTCAAGAGCTAGTGCTTTGAAATGAACATCACTATATAGAATTATCCACAGCAGTCATTAGCTGACAAGTAGAAGTCGCTAATATGATCGTAGGGAGGGATGTATAAACACAACTAGGACCAAAAATCAGTATAACTGCATATTTTATTGTGTGACATTCGATAGTTCACACACATTCAAATGGAAATGTACTATGGAAATAGTTTTCATGTTATCATCTACATAATACTTTTTTATGGTTTTCCTTATACAGGCAATTTTCATGTGGTGGTGTACAAAAGAAATTCCTATCAGTTTTGTAATGTTTTCAAAAAGGCCCTTTGCTGTGATCATTATTGACAAACTGTAACTTGATATACTTGAATATCTGGAAAACTAAAATGTTGTGCAGTCACCCTTTTCTTGAGACCATACCAAATCAGATTTATATAAAGAGGGAATTTATCTTAATTAAAGCTTACACTTGACCTAGTCATAATAAGCTGTAGTCTGTTAAGTAGGAAACATGTTTCCAAGACAAAGCTTATGAGGTGAATTATTTAGTTGGAAGTATTTAATTTTTCTGGATTGTGCATTACCTCCTACCCTGTCTTCCATGGACAGCACACTGACAGATTCTCCGCAGGTGTACACCAGGGACTTAGTTTATGGCTTGCACCTCTATCTTTAGATGGACCCATGGGAAGATGGCAGTCTCCCTGTGCGCACGCGCCATTGTCAGCATGTTTGGTGCTGGGTGCATGTGGGGCAGATGTCTCGTGAATCCAGGCATCCCATATTTGGACAGGCTTCTCAGTAGATAGGGCTCTTAGGATGGAACACCCGGCTGTCACAGGGAATCTTGGGAGCAATGGTGGTCAAGGTTGCCGGTAGTGGCTGGACTACACTTTTGTGCCTGTTGGTACTTTCTTAGAGGCCACTCCACTCACGTTAGGAACAATTACTTGGTTGCACCCTTTGAATTTGTTATATTTTAATGTTTTGCCTTTTTTACTGTCTGCATTTTCAAAGATATTTCATTTCATTGGTCTGTGTATGCTTCAAGACAGCTTTAGCATGCCCATCCCCTGAATTCAAAGCAATGGCACTATTCTCTAAAATTATTATTTTCAGTTAATTCTTTTGCTCTTTATCCCAATATATTTATCCCAGTCCAATTAATGTTTCAAAAATACCCTTATTTCAGTTCTATTTGAAGTTTATAATCTTTCAAAGGTACCATGTTCTATATTTGATAAAATCCGTATATACCCATAGATTAACACATCTCTCAGACATTACCAGAGAAATTTCTTTATGCAGTTGATGACAGTTAATGCAGAAACTCACAACTTGTGAAAATGTAGAGAATAGGTGTCTGTGGAGTACACAGCCATAAATGGGATGTCTATTACACTCCCTTCTCCAAGGCTCAGGGAACATTGAAGACTAGCCAGCTGAAGGGCTATGAGAGCCAGAGGTCAGGGAGGATTGGAGGGAGGCAGTGTTCTATGGACATGACAGGATCACAGCACTCATGAGCTCATAGCACTGTGGTGGCCTGCACCAGACCTACACAAGGTCAAGCTATTTAGTGCCCTAGTGTGGAGGGGAGAGGGGCTCACAGACCTCACCGTTAACTGGGGAGCTATGAACAACACTGGACTGCTGGCACGAGGAGGGACAGTCAGTTTTAAGGGTATGAATCCTAGTTGGTCAACCATAGTCTGGTAGCCCCATAGCCATGAGTATATGGCAGCACAGATTGAAAAGATAATTTCATAAAGATGGGAAGGGAGTTGGGGTAGATCTGAGAGGATTTGTGGGTGAATATGATCAAAATACATTGTATGTGTATATGAAGTTTTCAAAGAATTAACAAAAATATATTTAAAACAATCCTTCCTTTTCAGCGTAAACACTGACAACCCTCCGCTATCTGCCTCCGCCCTGCCTACTCAGTCTTTTCTTCCTTTGCTCCTCAGTGTGGTCATCCCATCACAGCCTGATATTCTATTCAAGAAAAGCTCACCGAAAGGATTTTGACGAAGCTGCTTACCTCTTACAGCTAGTTTCATTCTGGACACTGAGTCCTGCTCCCATCACAAAAAAGGGGCAACTTGTAACAAC